ACCTCTTGTTTCTGATTTTTGAATTATTATATATGTGCCAGATACACATTTACATCATCTAGCAGTAATGTAATTAAATCTTTTCATTTCCAGTTTTCATATTTCATACTTTTTTTTTCTTGACTGAATGCATTGACTGGTACTTTGAAAAAACATAATAATTTTACATTCATCTTGTTCCTTATTTTAATGGGAATGCTTGTAGTGTTTTCCCTCTTAGCAAACTATAAACTCAAAATTATTAAGAAACTTTACCAGGAATAATTAATAAATTTTATTAAATGCTTTTTCAGCATCTCTTGGAAGAAAGAGTCATAATGTTCTCATTTAGTGTGCTTGGTGAATTATGCTAGTAGGTTCCTTAATACTGAACCAGTTGTATATTATTGGAATAAACAGTTAATTGTTATGTATTATTTTTAGTGTGCTGCTGAATTCTGTTTGCCAGTATTTTATATAGTATTTTCCTTTAATATTCATAAATAAGATAAATGCGTAATTTTCTAACTTTTGTACTTTTTAAGGTTTTGTTATAAATATACTCAAAATTCTTTCTCTTTCTCCATGTACTAGAATAATTTCAGTAATATGGCAATTAGCTGTTCTTTTAAGTTTAATAGAATTCTCCTAAAACTATCTGGGCATACTTGTTATTGTTGTTTTAGAGTTACACAGAATATTTTTATTGTAAAACTTATGTTTCTTCTTTGTTAGTTTAGATTTTTCTGTCTATTCCAGGGACAGTTTTGGTTATTTGTATTTTTCTAGAAAAATAATGCTTTTCATGAAGAATTTTTGATTTATTTACATAGCCGTAGACAAAGAATTCTCTTGTAATTGTTTTAATTTCCTTGGGATTTATCTTGTTAGTTTCACCCAAGAATCAATGTTTAAATGTATATTTATTAGTTCTATTGTACTATTTCCTAATTCATTAATTTATTATTTTGTATTCATCTAATTCATTTAGGTTTATTTTGTTCTTTATTTAACCTCTTGTTCTGTATTTACCTTCTTGTTTCCTAATACTTTATTATGAAAATTTCAAAGATAGAAATTGAAAGGCTAGAGAAACATTCAAAACCCACCAACTAGATTCTTTTTATCAATAATTTACCATATTTCTTTATCATATACGTAGCTAACTATCCATCCTTCTCTCTATCCATCATACCATCTTAGATTTTTAATTTATTTCAAGTAAGTTGTAGAATTCTAACATTTCACCTCTAAAATTCAGCATTTGTGATTTTTTTTTATTTTTGAGATAAATTCTACATTCAATGAAATGTGCAGATCTAAGTGTATCAGTCAGTGAATTTTAACAAATGCATAATCTGTGTAATCCAAACCCCTACCACAGTATACATTCTCATTACAGTCACTGAAAAGATACAAATACTCAGGTGTCAATTTAAAAAAAATCTACAAGACTTGTATGCTTAAAATTACACAATGCTAATGAAAGAAATCAAAGATCTAAATAAATCAAGAAATATACCATGTTCACTGATTGGAAAACTCAATCTGATAAAGGTGTCAGTTCTCCGCAAATTGATATACAGGTTCCAGGCAATTCCTATCAAGATTATACTGTCAATCCAAACAAGATTATTTTAAAATTTATATGGAAAGATAAGAGAACTAGAATAGCTAAAACAATTTTGAAAAGAAGCATAAAGTGGGAGTAATAAGCCTATCAAATTTCAAGACCTTTTATGTAGCTACAGTAGTCAAGGCCCTGTTATATTAGTGGAGGGATCTATGTATACATAAATCAGTGGAACAGAATAGAGAACCCTGAAACAAAGCCACACAAATATGCCCAAGTGATTTTTGACAAAGGTGCAAAAGCAATTCAGTGGAGGAAAGTTAGCATTTTCAACAAATTTCTGAACATCCATAGGCAAAAAAGAAAATAAAATGAACTTCAATCTAACACTTTATACAAAAAGATTAATTCAAAATGTATCACAGGCTTAAATGTAAAATATAAAACTATACAACTTTTTAAAATAGAAAATCTTCACAATCTAGAACAAGGCAAAGATCAATATGAAAAATCAGTTTTCAAGAGTGGCAAAACTATTCAATAATGAAAAAATAGTCTTTTCAACAAATGGTGCTGGAACAACTGGATAGGTGATCACTTGCAGTGTGAATAAAGTTTGACCCTTACCTCACACTGTATAAAAAATTAACTCAAAATGAATCAAGACTTAAATGTAATAGCCGAAACTGTAAAGCTTTTAGAAGAAAACATAGAGCTAAATCTTCACGATCTTGATTTTGGCAGTGGATTCTAAACTGTAACACCCAAAGTATAAGCCACAAAAACAACAATAAAAATGAATAAATTGGATTTTATCAAAATTTAAAACTTTTGTGCTACAAAGGAAACTATCAAAATGAAAATACAACTCGAAGAATGGGAGAAAATATTTTCAAATTATCTGATAAATGATTTGTATTGAGAATATACGGAACTCGTAACTCACAATTAAAGGATAACCCATTTTAAAAGTGGCAAGGGATCTGAATAGACATTTCTCTAAAGAAGATAATCACATGGTCAATAAACACATGAAAAGGTGGTCATCATCTTTAGTCACCAGGGCAATGCAGATTAATACCGCAGTGAGATACCACTTTACACCCACTAGGCTGATTAGAACCAGAATCAGATAACAAGTGTTGATGAGGATGTAGAGAAATCAGAATCCTCAAATCTTGTAGCCACTTTGGAAAACAGTTTGGCACTTCTCTAGGAAGTTCATCGTAGAGTTACCATTTGACTCAGCAGTTCCATTCCTAGGCATATACCTAAAAAAATGAAAACATATGTCCCAAAAAAAGTACCTGAGTGCTAATAATGCCAACGTTATTCATAATAGTCAGAGGTGGAAACAACCCAGATGTCTATTCCATACTCGTTCTCAAGGGCAGATATTTAGTTTTATATATCAAGATGTTAGAAAAAGGCAAATAGCTGAAATTCCCAAAATTTTCAGAATGGATGCTGTATTATCAGTTCATGATTAATTTTGGTTTGATTTGATTAAGTTTTCAGCTACTGAGAGTCTCACTTTTAAATTTTAATTTGCTTTATTGCTTATTATCTGCTTATTTGGTTGTATGATGTTCACTTAACCCTACAATGTGCAGTGACGTGTATTTGCATCAGTAGTCTAGTCTGTGCCTTTTCTGTAGCTAGACTTGACACCTATGCATTGTGTCAGATACAGTTCTGTTGCTAAAACAGTTATACATATCATCCCCACAGTGTGTTCGTCCAGTGATACTTGTTTCTTATCACCAAGTTTTTTTTCTTAATTGTTTCAGTGAACGTATTTGGGATCATAGAGGCTGGCTCCTTCTATTAGAGCATATTTATACCCAGAGCCAAGCATAGTCTGACATACATCAGCCAGTAATAAAAGAGAAGTAGGAGAGTGAGTCATCACCAAATTCTTGTCCACTAGAATGTGGGAACAACTTAGGGCAGTTGGGCTATGAAGTCATTTTTTTCCCAATCAGATAGATCATGGTCTACAGTTTGGTCCTGAAAAGAATGAAGAGTAGGAAAGCTGGTATAGGTAAAGAAGAAGGTGAGCTCCTTCCTATGGGGAGACAAAAGAAACCTGAACTATGTATATTAGCTTAGCAAACAACCATTATTAAGGAGGAGGCTGAAGATGCAGGGAAAGGGAGAATAAAAGGTGGAGCAAGATCCCCAGAGGTAGGTTAGAAAGGGATCAAGCACCCAGGAGGAATAGAAACTTTAGTATATATGATGACACAATGTGATGATGACACAAAATAACCATGAGCCAAAATAACTATGATGACATAAAATAACCATGAACTACTCACAACAATACTTTGGAACCAGGGTGCAAATGAAGTGTTAGGGGTTTTGTTAAAGTGTGACAATGCTCATTGTTACTTCCAGTAAACCCTTGGTAAAATCCAGCCTTCCATAAAACACTAAAATTTTAGCCTAGATCTACCAGTGAATAATTTGAAAATATACAGTAAATTTTTCCTGTTTTATTTTGAAGTCATTCAAATAATGTTCTCTCTCTTTTTTTCCCAGATTGGACTCCTTCTTATCCTGAGCCAGTGTACATCCCAACAGGCCTGGAGATGGAACCCCTTTATCCAAACTCCAAGGAAGATACTGTGGTTTATCTAGCTGAAGATGGTGAGTATATGAGACACGTTGCTATCAAATATAATTGGGCTAATCAGTTACCTGGGCTAATCTCTTAGTTATATGTTTTGCTGTTTATAGTGGAAATTGCAGATTACTGGGAAGTCTCTGACTCCATAAACATGTTTTGTTACACATTGATCCAAATGTTGATTGAGTGCTAATTGTATTCTTGAAAGTAAGTATTGTAGTTTATGCACAGTTACTTAAAAATAAAGCATCATGTTGACCATGGATGGAATTTAGAGGGACTTAAGCTTCACATCAGTTTTCCAAGATAAATCCAGTAGAGTTTTCTGCCACTCGTGTTCCCTTTCTATCGATACGTCATGTTCATGCAGTCTTTCAAATGGTTTATTTTCATTTCATACCAGTTTGATGCATTTCTTGGGATTCCCATCTTTAAAAGAGGAAAATATTTCACATTGCAAATAACATCTAAGTTCATATCTCAGGAGAATGTTCTTAACACTCAGGATCAATAATTGCACTTTGAGAGCTCTGGTAATACAGAATCTCTGCTTTACGACAGAGTATGCTAATAATCAAACATAGAAGTCTCAACCTGTATTCTAAACTGTGCACCAACATAAGGGAGTGTGGTACTCCTGTACAATCTCACCATCACATTTTTATATGTTAGACTATATATTAAAGGTAACTTCCAGGGAACATACGTATTTTCTTTAAAGAGCTAGCAAAACAGAGAAATTCACAGGGATTGCTTCTTCTACAGTAAGCAGTTCCAGAAATTGTATACTTGAGCATTTTTAAGCAATTGGAGTGAGAGAAGCACCTCTGATTTTTTAAAATTTTGTTTCAAATATTTACATAGCTAAGCTACCTTAGAACTTCCACACACAACTGAGATCTAATGTAAAATTACAGTAGTTGAGGTGAGTCAGTCAGGATCTTGTCAGGAATTGGATTTTCTACTTGGGGTAATTCAAGAAAGTTGAAAGAAAGGATAACTTAAAAAAGGATGGGCAGAATTAAGGGAGACTTTCTTTTTTTTAACATTTTTTATTGATTTATAATCATTTTACAATGTTGTGTCAAATTCCAGTGTTCAGTACAATTTTTCAGTCATTCATGGACATATACACTCATTGTCACATTTTTTTCTCTGTGATTTATCATAACATTTTGTGTACATTTCCCTGTGCTATACAGTGTAATCTTGTTTATCTATTCTACTATTTTGAAATCCCAGTCTATCCCTTCCCACCCTCTACCCTCCTGGTAACCACAAGTCTGTATTCTCTGTCCATGAGTCTATTTCTGTCCTGTATTTATGCTTTGTTTTTGTTTGTTTGTTTGTTTTTGTTTTTGTTTTTTAGATTCCACATATGAGCGATCTCATATGGTATTTTTCTTTTTCTGGCTTACTTCACTTAGAATGACATTCTCCAGGAGCATCCATGTTGCTGCAAATGGCATTATGTTGTCAGTTTTTATGGCTAAGTAGTATTCCATTGTATACATATACCACGTCTTCTTTATCCAGTCACCTGTTGATGGACATTTAGGCTGTTTCCATGTCTTGGCTATTGTAAATAGTGCTGCTATGAACATTGGGGTGCAGGTGTCATCCTGAAGTAGATTTCCTTCTGGATACAAGCCCAGGAGTGGGATTCCTGGGTCATATGGTAAGTCTATTCCTAGTCTTTTGAGGAATCTCCACACTGTTTTCCATAGTGGCTGCACTGCCCTTAAATAGTTGAGAGTAAAAATTAGTATAATAATAATATATATATTAAAGAGTGATAAAGAAAATAAGAATCTAGATGAAAGCAGTATGAGGGTTCTTGGTACTAGACTTACAACTTAAGTTTGAAATTATTTCAAAATGTAAAGTTTTAAAAAAGTTATATGAGTTATTTTGACAAAAGAGAAATAATTTGATACTCGTACATGAACAGATCAATGAAACAGAACAGAGAATCCATAAATACATATGTCTGTGAATGGAAAATATTGCTGGCCACATCAGTAAACAAAGAATTCTGCGACCATCAAGTCATCGGCTGCTACCGCTACCCCCATGACAGTGAGTGGAGGGAACTCAGGATGCAGACAAGTAGGTAGCCTACCTCTGCAGCCACCCCAGCAGTGCCCCCTGAGGGAACTCAGGATGTGGAAGAGCAGGACACTGGCCCTAGATAGCCAGGTGCATATCAAAGGAATGATTT